ACTTACAAATGGAAGTACGAGCAGAAGATCAACATCTCCTTACATTAAATACGCATAAAGGTCTCTATCGTTGTAACCGTTTGATGTACGGTATCGCTTCAGCCCCCGCTATCTGGCAACGAAACATAGAAAGCATTCTCAAAGATATACCAGGCGTAACCGTGTTCTTGGACGACATACGTGTGGCAGGAAAAGATACAAATGATCATTTGCAAAGATTAGAAGCAGTTTTCAAACGTTTACAAAAGTATAATATTAAAATTAATCTTAATAAAAGCGAATTTTTTAAGGATCAAATTAATTATTGCGGTTACGTTATTGACAGAAACGGATTACATAAGGCACGAGATAAAATAGAAGCGATAAATAAAATGCAAAGACCGCGAAATATTACGGAAGTACGTAGCTTTCTGGGAATGATAAACTATGTATTATGGCCGGTTTATTCCAAATCTCAGTTCAATACTATACCCTTTAAATAATTTATTGCATAAGAACACTCCTTTTCATTGGTTTAAGGATTGTGAGTCAAGTTTCCAAGTAGCAAAAAGAGCATTCACAAGTCCTAAATGCTTGGTGCATTTCGATCCTACATTACACATTACGTTAGCTACAGATGCAAGCCCTTATGGGGTGGGGGCGGTGCTATCACACGTTTATCCGGACGGTACAGAGCGAGTTATTCAATACGCGTCGCAAACGCTTTCAGATACACAGAAATCGTATTCGCAAATTGATAAGGAAGCTTACGCCATTATCTTCGGTATAAAGAAATTCTACCAATACATACATGGGGGACACTTTACGCTATAAATTACAGACCACCGTCCGTTATCACAAATTTTTGCTCCACACAAAAGTCTTCCTATTTTTTCTGCTATGCGAATGCAACATTATGCATTGTTCTTACAAGGATTTAACTACTCAATCAAATACAGAAAATCAGAATTACATGCGAATGCAGACTGTCTGTCACGTCTTCCCGTAAAGAATGACAGTACAAATTACGATGTTATTGACATTTTCCAATTAGACACCATTGAAACCTTACCTATTACAATTACAGACTTGAAATTAGCTACACAAAAGGATACAAAGCTTTCAAAAGTATATGAATCATTAGCATCTGGAAAGAAACTAGAAAAATATGATAATTTTCAAATAGATACTCGCGAATTTACATTACAGAACGGAATAATTCTAAGAGGTCACAGAACAGTCATTCCTCAAGCACTACGTAAGAAAATATTACAAGAACTTCATCTTGGACATTTTGGCGTAGTCAGAATGAAGAATCTGACCAGAGGTTACGTTTGGTGGCCAAATATCGATCAGGATATTGAAGCTTTAACAAAGAACTGTAAAGACTGTAATGCTTTTAGAAATAACCCAACAAAAATAGAAGCACACATATGGGAACCAACGACAACCCCTTTTGAAAGAGTACACGTAGACTTCGCAGGACCATTTCTAGGATGTCACTTTTTTATTTTAGTAGATACATATACTAAATGGCCTGAAATCCATATTGTAAAGAACCTTACTTCAAAAACAACAATAGATTTATGCAGAAAAATCTTCGCAACTTTCGGAATTCCAAAATATTTCGTTTCTGATAACGCAAAAACTTTCACTGCTACAGAATTCAAAACATTTTTAAAAGTAAATGGAATTACGCAAAAACTTACAGCACCGTACAATCCATCAACAAATGGACAAACAGAAAGATTTGTACAAACCCTGAAAAACTCCTTGCGGTGCATGAGAAGCAATTCATCTAATATGCATATTTTATTACAACAAATACTTATGCAATACAGAAACACTAGTCATGCCGCGACAGGAAAATCACCAGCGGAATTAATGTTCGCGAGAAGACTACGTACGCGTTTAGATTTATTATTACCTACCGAAAAAGAATGTATACAAACAGAAAGTAAGCCAGTACCGATTGTTTTCGAGGTAGGAAAGAGAGTGAGTTGTAGAAATTATTTGGGGCATGAAAAGTGGTGTTTCGGAAAAGTTAAAGAGCGGATAGGCAAATTACATTATCAAATCCAGCTAGATGATGGACGAATTTGGAAAAGACACATTAATCAAATGCGTGCGATAGGCGAGAAAACACCAGCGAAGATGTTACAGGACATAATTTCCAGTAACGATTTTACAATAGATAATACTCCACCAGAAATAGAAAGGCCATTACAGCAAGCACCAGAGGAACCAGAGCATTTACAACAAGAGTTGCATCAACAAACAATACCTGTGGAAAATAGCAATGAAACACAGGAAAATCTCCCGGATAGAGCCACAGAACCCATAGTGGAAACTCCTACACGAGTTTCAAGGTCACCAAGAAGACCTCGTAAACTCCCTTTGCGTTTTAAAGATTACCAAGTTCAGTTCAAATAAGAACACATATACATATTCGTTACAGTTATATTTTCGACGTAGTTTTTCTTTTTCTTTTATCAAACACTTGTACATAAGTTTATTTCTTTTTACAAATGTACCCTTTCTTTTGTTGGCGAGGAGAGTGTTATGTGCGTCATATAAATTGTTACCGCGTACGGCGCAAGATATATGCGCGGGCGCATGCGTGAAAAAGCTGCGCTAGAGGTGTGCGTGAGCCATAGAACTTATAGACATGGAAGGGGAATAGCATATACTCTCCGTGAGCTGAAACTGAGTCCAACATCTGTGTGACAAGGATAACATAGAAGATGACTTTGATCCGTTATGCGCATGCGTTAAATCGTTGCGCATGCGTTATTGTAATCTCGATTTGGCCGCGCATGCGTTATTGTAATCTCGTTTTGGCCGCGCATGCGTATTTCGAGGAAAAGTCATAGAACGAGACAGAATTCTAGTTTCTTCTGTCTCACTTCTTGGCTTCACTTGTGCCGATCCGTTTCCCCTTCCATGTTTATAAGTTCTATGGCGTGAGCGCTGCGCTGCGAGAGAGGAGAGTAGAACGAGCTGTGTGCGTACGTGCAGTGTGCTGGACTGATATAATAAATAAGCTATATTCAGGAAACACTGTGTCTGCTGCATCGGAGATCGGTATCCCTTTTTCCTCAAAGATTCCCTACATACACAACAACTAGAAGTGGACCACTTTTGTAGATTTTCGTCGTTTTTAATCAAAATTTGTAATTACATTGTTACAACTTGATCTCTAAATTACGGAGCAAAACTACATCGAACTAGTATTATTAGCGATGGTCTATACATTTTTATATTCATATAAGTACAATATATC